TAGATATCCTTGTTTCTTTGTGCGTGAAGAATTTAAAGCTACGATCCATTTTTATTGAATAAAATTGAAATTTCATTTTATTGCGTAATTTTTCAATTCAGCTCATTCTGAAAATGCACTTTTTTCTTTTTCTAAATTTTTCTAAGGCTATAAGAAATATTAATTATTAATAGGATCTCTAAGAAACAATATCTTATATATTTTATGTATTTTTTTATTTCTTATTCTTAAATATTTTTAATTTGTTTTTTTATTTTCAATTCGATCTTTTTTTTTTATTTTTGATTAAACGATGAATCTATCTAGATAATATATCTAATTGGATCGAGATATATTTAAAAGTAAATAGTGATGCAATCAGGATCAACATGTATACTCAACCAATACTATAATTCCTTCGATTCTATTCGAAAGTTTTCGATTCATTAAGGAATTGGATTTTTCTAATTCTAAAATAGAAATTCATTGATATCAAAACGTGAAGCTAATAAATTTCTCCATTTATCGTACAGCATTTCATACGCTATCAAACTTCATTGTGTGCCCTTTGTCTCCGATAACACGGCCATCAAGGAAGACCGATAGCCTATTGAATAATTCCCTGAGTGTCGGTGATCTATTGTCTATTGCAAACAGCCACCCTCTTTTCTCTCAACAATTTGAAGTTTTAAATATTATTTAAAAATCTGTAAATAATTTAAATTTCTCAAATTTCTATGAATCTGTTTATAGAAGAATAAATGAAAAACGTATATAATAATAATTCTTTTAGAATTAAAATTTTTAAAAAATTTAAATTTCCTTAAAAAAAAGAGAGAGAACGCTTTTTTACTACTATGTAATAATAGAATAAAACAAAAATTCCTATCCATTGAAATTAAAAGAAATCAAAATGAAATGAAATATCATCGAGTGACAACACGATTATAAAACTTTTATTATTTATTATCGTCGCACAAAGAAATAATACCAAATTACCAAAAATTACTTTCATATTCTCACACTACCTCCAACACATATCGATAAATTATTTATCAATGGCATTTTTTTTTTATTCACCTGTTTACCCAGCCCGAGAACCACGAGGAGTACGTAACCGTTTAGGAAAAGACCCAGAGCAGAAACGAGGACGAGAGGCACGCCAAAGGCCCAAGGGACCATTCCTCTTGGATCCCGCGTGATTCCTGATCCTCTTCGAAGATGGCTGCCCCCGATGGATGGAATTCGATCGTCGTTGCTCAAGTGTCGTACCTTTGATTCGCCGCGATACACGGTACCGTGATGGCGGG